GCAAATGAAGAATGGCACATTTGTGAGTCAAGGAAAGTACATCAAGGACATGCTCAAGAAGTTTGGAATGGATGATGCTAAAGCTATTAGTACACCAATGGGGACAAGTGGAAGCTTGGATAGTGATGCTAGTGGCAACATGGTGGATCAAAAGATGTATCGGTCTATGATTGGAAGCCTACTCTATGTGACCGCATCAAGGCCGGATGTGATGTTTAGTGTATGCATGTGTGCTAGATTCTAAGCCTCACCAAGAGAAAGTCATTTGAAAGCAACAAAGATAATATTGAGGTACTTGAAGCATACACAAAATGTTGGATTATGGTATCCCAAAGGAGCAAGATTTAAGTTGATTGGATATTCGGACTCCGATTATGCGGGATGCAAAGTTGAGAGAAAGAGCACATCGGGCACATGTCAACTATTGGGAAGATTACTTGTGTCTTGGTCATCAAAGAAGCAAAATAGTGTAGCACTTTCAACTGCCGAAGCGGAGTACATTTCGGCCGGTAGTTGTTGTGCTCAATTACTTTGGATGAAGGCTACCTTGAGTGACTTTGGGATCAAATTCAAGCAAGTGCCATTGCTATGTGACAATGAAAGTGCCGTAAAGCTCACCAACAACCCGGTTCAACACTCAAGAACAAAGCATATAGATGTCCGTCATCACTTCATAAGAGATCACCAACAAAAAGGGGACATTTGCATAGAGAGTGTGGGCACCGAAGATCAACTTGCCGACATATTCACCAAGCCACTTGATGAGAAGAGGTTTTGCAAGCTAAGGAATGAATTGAACATACTTGACTTCTCTAATATGTGTTGATGCACCCCCACTATATGACATGCCTCTCCTTCGAGCAAAGCAAGGTAAAATTGATTGACATGTCATCCATCCATCCATTGCTAAGGACTTGTTTAGTGCATCTAGTCATTCCAATCATGTCCTAGGCTCATTCATGAAAATCAAATAAATTTGATGCTTGTATGGTACAACTATAGCTTGTATGCTTGAAATGATCTAGTGGTACCATATGACATGTTTGTGGGCTTGTAAACCTAGTGTTTGATCTATAAAATGAGCTATAAGTGTTTAACTCAACATGGTACAAGATAACCCTTATTTGGAGGTGTGAAGAAGCTTTTCCTTGGATCAAACCGAGTTAAATAACTTTTGCAAGTAATCTAGATTGAACCAATTTGGGAAAATAATCCTCACTTCACATGGTTTCACCCCAACCTATCTAAAATTTGAGCCCTCTTTTTGTGCTAATTGTTGACAAAGGGGGAGAGAAATGCACAAAGATAGTAAGATAGATATGGGGAGCAAACAAATGAAATGACATTGTAAGGGGATCAATCATCAAAATTGCACACAAGTAGGGGGAGCAAGCTCATAAACTTGTATGATGCATTTGAATGTGCATTTCATATATTTGCTTGCATGATACAAGTTCTCAATTTCAATATCCATGCTTGTGTGGTGTATGCTAGTTGTAGGTTTGAATGTTGAAAGGAAAAACTAGCATGCATAGGCTAAAGTAACTAGACCTATGTTCATTCTATGGAAACTAGACCCTTGCTTGTAATATTGATCTCATAGGGTATTCTAGTTTTTGTGTATGTCTAGTTACTAATGGTGCTAAGGATGGTATATTGGTGCACTCCGATAGGTATCACGCTTCAAAGATCCATCTCTTATACCTTAGCATCATTTGGTAGATATTGTCTCCTATATTTCCTATCTAAGCATATGTGCAAGCTACAATCCAAACTCTTAGCATATATGTAGAGGGAGCAATTGCTACCATTGGGGATTCATGAAACTTATCCATATCCTTTACACATGGTAAATATGCTTGGGCAAGCAACATGGATTCAATTAAATTTCAACTTATATCTTTGTGAAAGGGTTGTCATCAATTACCAAAAAAGGAGAGATTGAAAGCTCTAGTTTGGTTTTGGTTAATTGATGAAACCCTAAGTGCTAACCTAGTTTATCAAAGTGATTATGAGATAGGTAGCACTACTCCAAGTGATGAAGCAATGGTGAAGATCATGACGATGGTGATGGCATGGTGATGATCAAATGCTTAAACTTGGAAAAGAAGAAAGAGAGAAACAAAAATCTCAAGGCAAAGGTATGAACCAGAGGAGCTATTTTGTTTTGGTGATCAAGACACTTAGAGAGTGTGATCACATTTAGGATTGATAGCCGTACTATTAAGAGGGGTGAAACTCGTATCGGAATACGGTTATCAAAGTGCCACTAGATGCTCTAACCCATTGCATGTGCATTTAGGATCTAGTGGAGTGCTAACACCCTTGAAAATGTTTGTGAAAATATGCTAACACATGTGCATAAAGTGATACACTTGGTGGTTGGTACATTTGATCAAGGGTGGTGAAGTTTGGGAGCAAGGGCAAGAAACTCCACCGGCGCCCTAGACAGAAAAGACAGAGGTCACTGGGTGTGACCGGACGCTGGCCACGGTTGGACCGGCGCGTCCGGTCAGATGTATCAGCAAAGATGCTGGCGTCGGTCAAATGACCGGACGCTGGGTCGCTCTACGACCGGACGCTAGCAGGGTGCGTCCGGTCAATGCTGACATACGCTGACGTGTGGTGCACAGTGGAGACATTAAGTGACCGGACGCTGGGTGAGTCCGGTCGTGAAAATTCGTGTTTTGAACCTTACTGGAAATGACCGGACGCTAAGATCCAGCGTCCGGTCACTTTCTAACTGACGCGTCCGGTCATCACTTGACCATTGAAATCGGGCGATCGATGTTTGATGCCGATGACACGTGGCGCACATCGCATGACCGGACGCTGAGGTCCAGCGTCCGGTCAATATGACCGGAGCGTCCGGTCGGTCCGTGTTCAGTGCAGTGAGGAGCCCAACGGATCTATTTCGTGGGGGCTTCTATTTAAGCCCCATAGCCGGCTCAAGCTCACTCTCTTGCATATTTTTCATTGACATAGCAACCTTGTGAGCTTAGCCAAAGCCCTCCCACTCATCTCCATCATTGATCCATCATCTTTGTGAGATTGGGAGATAATCCAAGTGCATTGCTTGAGTGATTGCATCTAGAGGCACTTGGTATTCGTGTTGCGCTGTGAATTTCGCTTGTTACTCTTGGTGGTTGCCACCACCTAGACGGCTCGGTGCAGCGGTGGAGGATCGGCACGAGTTGGTGATTGTTCGTGGCCGTCTCCGGTGATTGTGAGAGGAGTTGTACCTTTTCTGGTGGAGTGCCGAAAGGTTAGTCTAGTAAATTGCTCGTGTCATTGAGTTACCTCACTTCTGGGTAGGTTCTTCCGGTGTCCAATCGTGTGGACGAGGTTTATGAAACACCTCTTAGCCGCGCGAACCACCAAGTGTTGCTCGACACAATGGGGACGTAGCGTGTTGGCAAGCACGTGAACCTCAGGAGAAAATCGGTTGTCTCTTGCCATTTGGTATTCTCCCGGTGATTGATTTAATATTCACCTTGTGATTGGTTCACTCCTCTACACAACGGTATAATCACCCTACTAACTCATTTATATTCTTCCAAACTAGTTGTGGCAAGCTCTTTAGTGTAATTAGAATTGAGAGCTTGCTTTGTTATTTTAAGTTCATCTATTGGAGCTCTTTAGAGTAGCAAGATTGAGAGCTCTTAGTGAGTAGTAACTTTGCAAGTTGTGTGCCTAGGAATCATTGCAACTAGAATTATTAGATAGGTGGCTTGCAACCTTTGTAGAGCTAGAGCAAGTTTGTTTTTCACTATTTGTCATACTAATTAAATTGCTCTAGTAGATTTGTAGATTTTTAAATAGGCTATTCACCCCCCCTCTAGCCATATTAGGACATTTCACTATGTTATAATGATGGACTTCATAATGGACTATGTTGTAATGATGGACTTTTGTGAATTATGATTTGTGATGATGTTCTAAATAATGGTCTTATGTTTGTGGATGTATATATATGTATATTTGTAACGGTCAGATTCGAATTTAAATATATATATATATATATATATATATATATATATATATATATATATATGGTCAGATTTAAATTTGAATTATTTTTTCTTGCTGGAAAATCCACTGTAGGGACGGTTCTTGATTGAACCGCCCTTACAAATACACACAGCAGGGGCGGCTGGTGATACAGCCACCCTTATAGAAGTCCACTACAGGGGCGGCTGATATTACCGGCCGTCCTTACAAAGAGAACTGTAGGGGCGGCTGAAAACACCAGCCGCCCCTACAGAGACACCCTTTGTAGGAAAACCCTAAAAAGGACGGCTGGCGTAACCGCCCCTACAAAGGCTCTAGAACTGCCCCTACAGTTAACTTCTGTAGTAGTGTATGCTCCATCAGCATGCATCATGTGCTTCCCCAGTACAAACCTCCGCCCAAGTTCACAAGCTCTAGCATGCGGCTGGCTACTTTAATCTCTCCTCTAATTGAGCTCGATCAATTTGTCCTCCAGTTCAGGCCCCTCTAGTGTTGCTGCCTTGGCTTTGACAATTCGTCTATGGCAATCGCAATTCGAGACTCATCGCATCTCTAGTGTTGCTGCCTGGTAAAATTTCGTCTGGTCTTTAGACAAACGACTCCATTAGTGAAGGTTATGTACCTTAATCAATCTGCGAGGCATTCATGGAAACTGAGAGGCAGGTCAGATCCACGGTACATGAGAGGCATTCATGCCTGCGCATCTGGGTTGACTCTGCGGTGCTACTCCGGGGTCAGGATCAATCTGTTATCCATCATCGCCTTTGTGCTGTGCTTTTCCTCCGTATTTCATTCCTCAGTCGTTGTAGCTTTGCTTGAATATCCATGCCTGCCTGCTAGTGCGACAGGAAAGAAAGGAGACCAATCATACTAGTCTTCTGTAGTTCTGTTCGTAGCTGATTAATAGCATATATATGTTCCAATTTGCTCACTGAAGGGGCATCCCCAACAAGACAGATAGCAAGGGCAGCAACAGGACACGATCGACAATGGAACCAGAGGAGCTAACATTTCAAGAGATAAAAGAAATTACAGATGGTTTCGCACAGGAACTTGGTCGTGGATCATTTGGAGTCGTTTACAAGGTAAGTATTTTATTTTATTTTTTGCCGTGCTTGGTTTTCATAAGTAAATCTTTTGTCAATACAAGTCTCGTCAACACAGATGTTGCTACAAAGTATGCGACAAGCTTACCATGAAATTTGTTGCAGCACCTTGTTTGTGATAACTGTAAAAGAAATCCAACGCATGCTATTTTCTGTTTATCAGATATAATATAATAATAAATACTATGTGACGAAAATGTCAGATTTCTTTGAGTAAAATCATATGTTTAACAGGGATTGACTAAAACTGGAAAGGATGTTGCTGTGAAGTTGCTTCTTAATCACATAAATATTGACTACAAGCAGTTCCATAATGAGTTTAATAGCCTCGCGATGCTTCAGCACCCAAACATCGTACAGCTTCTAGGCTATTGCTATGAAACAAAGCGAAAACCAATGAAGTACAATGGAAGACAACTGATTGTTGAAGAGACACATAGAGTGCTCTGCCTCGAGTATTTGCACAATGGGAGCCTTCGAAAGTATCTATCCGGTATCCTTCTTCACCATCGGCCGTATCTCCTGTATATATGTATTTGGTTTGATATATATAATCCCTTTGTTTATTACACAGATGAGGTTACTGGACTTGACTGGAATACACGGTACAAAGTTATCAAAGGGACTTGTGAGGGTTTAAAGTATATTCATGAGGAACTGGAACAATCCATTTACCACTTGGACCTAAAACCTGACAACATACTACTAGACAAAGATATGGAGCCAAAGATTGCAGATTTTGGTTTGTCCAAGATATTTGGTGACGAACTAAAACGGACCACACGAAGTCCTCTAGGAACTCGGTAAGTTGAATATATATGTCTTGTGAACAAAATTTCAAGTCCATCAAAATGATGAATTACAAATTAGTAGTATTTAATACAATGCAGTGGTTACCAGCCACCAGAGTACATCGACAAAGGTGAAATCTCAAAAAAGTTTGACATATTCAGCTTGGGTGTCATAATGATAAGGATAGTGTCAGGACCTGACTCCATATATGAAGACATGTCCAATGACAAAATTATTGATATAGTGAGAACTCGTACTTCTCTTTAAGAATATCAAAATTAGTTTTTAATATGTGGCATTTACATTTGAATAGTATCTGCCAAGCTTGACAATTCAGTTTTTCAGGTAAGAAACTGGAGGAATAGGTTGCAAGCAACGTGGAGTGGTTCCTCACTTGAAGCATATTGCCACCAAGTAGAGACATGCACTAAAATAGCACTGAACTGCATGCAACAAGATAGCCAGAAAAGGCCCAATGTTCTACAGATCATCGATGAGTTGAATAAGATTGAAACTGCCATTGGCAAGGTATCCAAAATCATTATTTTGTTTCGAGTGAAATGTTTCTTTATAAATACGTACAAGTACATTGGAATGTTATGTCAGTAAATCATTTTAATTGATTTGGAATTATGTACTCCCTTCAGTTAGAAATATTTTTCCATTTTGTTAGTGATTGTAGTTCAGCAATATTGATCCTTCAGAATTCAAGGGCACAGCATTAAATTGCAATTTTCTGTCTCTAAACCGGATCTTGATGATGTGAAACATATTGTCTGATAAGGAGGAAGAGCAAACCTACTAGTCCATGGATTTTCTTTTCCTTGAAATTGAAATAAAGCGATGTTATTCAAATTTTCATACTTAAAACTGACAGTAGGCACATGAAGCAATAATACAAGTGCTCCTGTTTGAACTATCAACAGTGTGCTGCTCTAACATCTTCTATGTTACATTTCTGTCATTGGCCAAATTGGTATACAGATTAGCTACTGCTTAGGTGAACAAAAAAACTATGTTTTGTTTGCTATGTACAACACAACTCCCTCCAAAGCGAAAGTTAAATTATTTTATTATTTTATTATTCATGTTAGTGAAACTTTGTTAGCATTGAAATCCAATGTACAAGGAACTACATAGATTAATATTGATTCTAAACTTCATCATGAAAAGTTGTCATAGATGTATATTCATTTCTATCTGATTTAACATTATTTCGGAGAACCTATAATTGAAGTGTCACCTTGGAAACTATTTATTGCCATAACATTTTATGTTATGCGTTTCACCCCCATTTGCAATAAGGAATAATGGAACTAAATGAGTTCATTTAATAGAACAAGAATGGAGAAAAAATAGAGGGCGGTCACAAAGAAAACCTTCTCACGCAGGTCAAGAAAAACCACCGAACCCCTGCTCCATCCATACACAGCGGCACCGTAGCCCATGTGAGCGACCTGGGCCGGGGCTTAGACTTGTGCTTTGGCATGGGATAGACAATGAGATTTTTTTAACCCTAGCCCGAAATTCGCTCCCACTAGGATTCGAACTCAGGACCACCTAACTGACTCAGCTAGGCACCCTTTCACAAAAACTAAAGAAGGAAAGACTGAAGTTAAACTTCAATTCTATTCCAAAATTTCTAGACCAACTTTGCAAAGACTTCCATGATGACTGTTTCAAGCAATATGCATCCATCCTTGAGACTGGCTCTTGGACTTTCCTTATGTAGCAGTGAGCATTGACGGTTATATGTTGCCTTGAAGATGACATGCAAAAAGGTGTTAAGTTTAGCCTTATTGAACGCCAAATCATTTGTTTTCAACCATAAGGGCCAACTAAAGCATCAACACCAACTAAAATTTGATTTTATTCCAAAAAAAGTAAAATTTGATTTCTAAGTTTTGGTGGAATGCGAAACAACCAAGAATCAAACAAATGCGACATGCTAGAGGGAGGATGAATTCCAAAAGTGATATGTACGTTATTCCAAATGAATCTAGCAAAATAAAAAATGTCTAGTATGTTGACCAATATGGCAATCTTGTAGGTTCCCCAGAAAGAATGTAGCAAAACTGTTCCTTGGATGACAAGGCAAGATCAGATGAAGATGAGAAAGCAGTTAAGGCAGATGGCAGATCAACACCAGCATTTCAACTTGTTGACAAGCGATATGTACAATGATCTTGAATTGGTTGATATACACAAAAAATCATCAGATGTAGCTGAAGATTTTATTATAGGGAGGACAGATGAGAAGAAAAAAATAATTGATTCATTAATTGAGGCCATGACAGAAAAGATCATTATCCTTCCTATATATGGTATTGGAGGAATTGGCAAGACAACCTTTGCAAGATTGATTTACAATGATGCAAACTTCAGATTTTATTCTCAGGTGTGGGTCCATGTGTCCCCGATATTTGACTTGAAGAAGATTGGCGACTCTATAATTTCACAGCTACCTGAAAAACAGAGACAAACTAAGAAGAACCTGATTGTCTTAGATGACCTGTGGGAGGATAATCCATTTCTACTAGAGGATTTGAAAGTTATGCTAAATCTTGGTGACAGCATCAACACAATTGTTTTAGTAACTACATGCAGTGAACATGTCGCAGAGAAAATTTGTACTAACATTAAACCATACAAGATAAAACATTTGACGAATGACATGTGCTGGGAAATAATAAAACAAAGAAGTGCCTTTGAAACTAGAGATGACAAGAAATACTTGACCAGTATAGGAAAGGACATTGCCCTGAAGTGTGGAGGTGTGGCTTTAGCAGCTCAATCTGTTGGATTCATGTTGCGGTCTATGAAATCTAGTCAATGGATGGAAGTGAAAAACAATAATATCTGGAAGGAATCTATCTCAGATGATGCCTCATTACAAAATCAAGTTCTTGCATCTTTGAAGTTAACTTATAGCTATATGGATTCATGCTTGAAGCCATGCTTTACCTACTGTGCAATGTTTCCAAAAGGTCAAAAGATACATAAAGATGATCTAATTCAACAATGGATTTCTTTGGGTTTTATCAAACCAACAGAAATACACTCCATTATGGAACTCTGTGAAAAGTATGTTGTCCAGCTCCTGGGATTGTCTTTCCTTCAACATTCTATGTCAGCCCCGGTGAGTTATTTGTGCCTACCTTTTTCTGGGATAATACAATTGATATTCTTTCTTTCCATATAACAATTGATAAGTAATAAGTTAACTGATATAGCTTTTGATAATCATGGCGAAAACATGCTTAGTACATTGAACCACAAGAACCAAACTTGAAACTTACATGTTGTTCATAGCAATAAAATAATATGGATGGCCATCTTCCATTGTTTGCCTTAAATAGGCATCTCTTAGCAGAGAGTTTTTTGGGGTTGAGGGTACCTGTCCTTCGAGGGTGCAAGGAGCTCCTGGGATGCTGGTGGTTGGTTGTGTAAGGTGGTGGCTCACGCCAATGGCCAGTGTGGTGGGTGACAACTGGTGGGTGGTGGAGGCAACAAGGGCATATTCCTTGAGTTGCTTCAGTACGTTATTTAGGTAGTGTTTAAATCCAGGGAGTAAAGTTTAGGGATATCACATCAGGTGTCACATCGGGGTGTTATATGGGAGTGTTCAGATAGTAATAATCAAACAAATTACAGAAGTCCTCAGTAATCCGCGAGACGAATTTATTAAGCCTAATTAATCCATCATTAGCACATGTTTACTGTAGCACCACATTGTCAAATCATAAACTAATTAGGCTTAAAGAATTTGTCTTGTAAATTAGTTGCAATTTGTGCAATTAGTTATTTTTTAGTCTATATTTAATACTTCATGCATGTGTCCAAACATCCGATGTGATAGGGAGTAAACTTTAGAGGGAGAAACTAAACAAGGCCTAGTGAGTGGGAGGCTGTCGGTCATGCCCTAGCGATGTGAGATTGCTACACCACATTAGGCAATCACTGGTAGAACCGGCAGCAATAATTTTATTACTGCCTGTTCGTGGCTTCAACTGACACACTGCTGGTTCATGGCTTCAAGCGGACAGTAATAGACATGGTACTATCACTGCTGGTTGAAGCTACAAACTATACGTAGTGATAGCCTGTTATGTAAAAAAAGTCATAATTTTTTATATGAGGTCGGATTAAGATAAAGTTTATTTCAAAATTGTAAAATTTAAAAAGATAAAACTTTGTAGTTGACAATTTTTTAATTATAGATGATTTACATGTCCAAATATTCAATATAAGTTTTCGAATCAAATTTGAGATGGTTAACAATGTTGAATAAATACAAAGCTAGCATCAAAGTTGTAGTACTTGACGAGATCTACAACTTTGCAGTTAACAACGTTTTCATTTAGATCATTTAGAGTGTCAAATATATAATATAGAAATTGTGTAGTTAAAAGAATAACATTAGTTGTATAGTCACAAGTGTTGAGTAGATCAACTAGTATGGGTGGTCTTCTATCTTTGTTGGACGCGATTCCGACAGTGACTGGTTAGGGGGGTGCCTGATGCGATTCCATACCCCTTCCACCCGGTTTTGCAGGTCCACTATTACAAGAAGCTAGGATTTTATAGGTCACACCAACTTGTACTCCCCCTATTTCAAATTATAAGATATTTTGGGTTTTCTAAATTTACATAGTCTTTGTTATACACTTAGATATACACTATGTCTAGATGCATAGAAAAACAATATATCTAGAAAGCTCATAATTTAGAACCAAGTAGTTCACCTTTCCCTTGCCGAAGGAATTTCTGACTTGCTGTCACCAAGCATATATAGAAGTAGAGAAGCGTTTCTTGACCATAAAGAGGTCTTCCCACGTCGGCAATATAGTAGGTAGTTGTGTCCACTTAACCTTTGTGAATGCGACTGAGACTCAAGACTGGTTCAGGCTCCACTAGCAATGTGTCGGGGTCGACCACTAGTCGTAATTTAGAAAATACCAAAGAATAGTATGGTATAGATGGCTTGAGCTATGAAATATGGAAGATAGGATAAATTAGACTGACTTATATATAGAAGGTCGATCTTGTATGCGGCCGATCAAATCTCCTAGACTCTGTGCGGCTGTTCTGGGAAAATTGGCTTAGCAGGTTGTCATTTATAAATTGCACAAATTGGACCTTACCATTACATTCCTGTCATCAAGACGATTGAAACATACATATAGAAAGCTAAATTTGGAGTTTGGATAAGCAAATTACGCCTTTGGAAAGATCCACCCGGTGAGTTAGAATAGTATTTCTGCACGTGTTTTGTAAGAGTTTAGACGCTAACGGGATAGTCTACCCACCATATCAATGGTTATTAAAGTATATAAAATTGATGGGTAGATCTTTCTAGTTTTGTGAGAACTTCATAGCTTTTCTAGCACATCTAATGAGAATTAACATGCAGATTACATTGTGGATCTTTGATTATAATTTTTAAGATTTGTTATATTTTTTAGCATGATATATATTTATTTAAACGCTTCTATTACTCATGTGTCTGATTTTTTGTTGTTGTTCATGAGTTGTCCTTTTAATTGTATTAGTCCTGAAAATTTCCAAAAATTCGTACACCTCAAATGAAGCAACTCCCTTATTTAAAACCTAATCTTAAGGTTTATAAGCTCTTGTTGCGTTCTTTTTGAGACATCATGAATCTATATTTTAGATTTCAACTTTTGATCTTACTAGGCGTTGCAATTTATTTATCCACAGTTAAACTGAAACTCTAACTGACCATTGTATATTTTTTCAAATATTTATTTTAATAAAGTAAGATTCTAGGTCCTAGGCTACACTTAAAGTTACGAACGTGACAAAACAATGTTTTCAATCTACATTGCAGCACTTAAGATGTTGAAATTGATATAAAGTATAGAGTGCTTTAAATTAAATTATTAGTATCGATATGACCTAATGTATTAATAAAATTTTATAAGCTTGTTTAAAATAACTTGAAAATTTATGTCATAGTATATTTAGATAATTTAAAGTGATCTGCAAGTGCCATTGATATGTGTTTTGTTAATAGAACAATTTTCAAGCTTGAGAAGCTAATAAAATAAATATTTATCCTAATGTATGCAAGTTACTTGGTGTACATTAGTAGCACTAGCACATAACAGTACGCTAATTTAACGGAGGTAAAAGTGTGTGGTTTATGATTCTAGGATTATTCTAAATAGTAGTTTTTATTAGTATTTACGTGTAGATTTGAGTATACTTTAGCTTGTTTTTCTCATAATTATAGTCATAGATGTGGACAATTTAGATGTAAAATAACATGTTAATTTATATTATCTTTGCAATGGCATATGTGTTATTTTAAATGCAAACTTACGGTTTAATATAAGTTATTTTTTGTAATATTAGAGTGAGAACTTTGTATACAATTTTTGTCTATTATTTGAGGTTAAATTTTATAATGTCGGAAGTGGGTAATTTATACAAAAAATTAGGGGGTTTTTAAATATATTTTATAATGGCAGATGTTATTAATTTAGGTTCAAATGTGGGGGTTATATTAAATTATCTTTCATAATGACATAGGCGAATAATTTTAATGCAAATTTAGGGGTTACTTTTATAATTTCTTTATAATAGCAGCGGTGGGTGATTTTTAAGACAGAGTAGATCCAATGATTGTTATTGGATATAAGAATGTATCAATTAAAGGGCAGAAGTTTACTGTGGGAATTTCAAGAATTTATCTTTTCTCTAGCATATCTCATGCGTATCAATGTAATCATTTCTTTAAAGCTTACTTGTAATAGTAAGATAAGATTGACAAACGTGACCCTTGTATGTACTTTCAATGCAGACTTATGAAGGAGCATATCGTGAAAAACAAGACACATTGTTCACAATGCACGACCTGGTGCATGACTTGGCAGTTTTACTCCTTGGCGATGAAATTATGGATCAGAGGCAGCAAGGCAATACTTTGTCAAGCAGCTGCCGATATGCGTTGGTCACTGATTCTAGCAAACCACTGGAGTTATGCTTGTCATCTTGTGCAAGGCTAACAGCACTCCGTTTTATTGACTGCCGCAGAACTGAACTGTGTGGTTCTGCATTTGCACCTGCTAACTTCCTGCGAGTATTGGATTTAAGGGAGTGCCATATACAGAAATTACCAGAATCTATTGGTCAGTTACAGCAGTTGAGCTATCTAAAGGCTCCTGAAATCCAAGATCAATTGATACCCGATTGTATCACCCAGCTCTCAAAATTAAATTACCTTTACATTAGTGGATCTGAGATCTCAGCACTTCCAGAGTCAATTGGAGAAATGGCAGGTCATGTGCATCTCGATATATCATTCTGTTCAGAAATAGAACAATTACCATTGTCCTTCAGGAATTTGGAAAATTTGGTGCATCTGGATTTGTCACACTGTTCACTTATCACTGGTGTATCAGAATCACTGGGAAGCCTCAGGCGACTGCAACATTTGGACCTGAGATGGTGCACAAGTATTGGAGAAGAGCTGCCAGGAGCATTGGGCAGCCTCACAGAACTGCAATATTTGAACTTATCACACTGCTCTTACCTTGATGTTCCTGACGCTGAGGTCTTGGGCAATCTAAACAAACTCAAGTATTTGAACCTATCTTCAGCAGCATCACCGCTGAGAAGACTTCCAGAATCTTTGGGGAGCTTCACTGAACTGGAGTATTTGAACTTATCAGGCTGTCGACAACTAGAAGAGTTGCCAGCATCATTTGGGAAGCTCTGTAGTCTGGTGCATCTTAATTTGTCAGATTGTTTTTGTCTCAATAATATATGGGATGCTTTGAGGGACCTTACCAAACTGCAGTGTCTGAATTTAAGTCAATGTTCTATTGATGTGTTTAGACAAAGGCAACACGTGAGCTCCAAATTCTTTCAGGAAGCCATGAACAAGCTCATAGAACTACGCTTTTTAAATTTATCAAATTCGGTGTATTTCTGTGGAAGCCAGTCAGTAAGCGACAGTTTCCTGGAGTGGATCAGTAACCTCACCAATCTAGAGCATCTCGATTTGTCTGGTAATTCTGAGTTTCACACTGTACCTGATGCGCTTGGTAAGCTCAAGAAGCTGCATACACTAGACCTCTCGTATTGCCGCTACCTACTGTGGCTGCCCAAAAGTATATCTGAAAATGACAGCCTAAAGTTTCTAAATACCATGGGCTGCGATGAGTTGAATAAGTCCACGTTACCTCAATTCAACAGCAGCTCAGTTCTATTACCACACTTTGTGGTCCGTACTGGTGATGGCGAACATAGCTAAGGATGAAAACGGTCGAACTCAGTCGAAAAACTCCTCAACCGTTTTCTACTTTTACATTTGAAATACGAAAGCGAAAGCGAAAGCGGACAAGCCGGACACGAAAACGAACACGAACTTACGGAATATCTAGAATTTCGGAAACGAATCAATTCGAGTGGAATTATGTCGAACACGGTCGGTATGCGAAAATTCAATACGAAATACCGACCCATAGTGCATAGCATTAAACAAGTGCACGACCAAATACATAACAAGTTCACAACTAACAAGTATATGATCTAGTTCAAGTGCATAGCATTAAACAAGTGCACAACCAAATACATAATAAGAGATATGAGGCTGGACGCCGTCTATAAGAGAGGGTAGCTCAGCCACTAGTAGAAAGAACGCAGCGTGGTGAGCAGCCTGTAATTACGCTGTATGACCTATGCAGTTGGCCAAATTCAGTTTAAACCGAATTTTGAATTCAGAATATTTCAAATTAAAAATAGAAAAGTAGAAAACGGTCGAAAAATGTGTAAACCGTTTTCTACTTTTACATTTGAAATACGAAACATCTCAAATGCGAAAGCGAAAACGGTAAAGTCGGACAAGAAAATACGGATTCGATCGGATTAAATATAGAAAACGATGCGGTTCGGTTCGGGATATTTCCGTTCCGTTTTCATCGTTAAACATAGCAGCAATCTTGTTCTGCTCAAAGATGAGGACCCCACTGTCTTGGAGATCAGCAGTCTTGAAAATGTGAAGTCCGTCGAGGAGGCGAAAACGGTTAAACTATTGGAGAAACGAATGATCTATGATCTGAAATTTGAGTGGACTAGAGATGCAAAGAGATTTGTGGAGGACATAGAAGTGCTCACGGAACTAGTGCCCCCATGTAATGTACAATCATTTTTTCTACAAGGTTATAATAGCTTGACATTTCCGTCCTGGATGATGGGCATTACTAGCTATTTACCTCAACTAAGTTATGTTTCACTGAAGGAGCTTCCCTGGTGCAGCGCCCTACCACCACTCGGTCAGTTGCCAAACCTAGGATGTCTGGTAATCAAACAAATGCACAGTATCAGAGAGATTGGCAGGGATTTGTATGGCGGCACAAGAGCGTTTCAGGCACTGATGCAATTTCATCTAGAGCAGATGGATAACTACAAGAGTGGAACACGATAGGCTACAGTGATGAGGATGGTGGAAATGTGCTCGTGTTGCCCATGCTCAGGGAATTGGTTATAAGCCAGTGCCCCATTTTGCGTTTCAAACCATGCCCCCCAATAGGTGGAGACAGCTGGCACATTGGAAGTAGTGATAATGCAATATCGTTAGGGGGAGAGAGCGTGCACGTTGAAGCTTCCTTCTCCTCCAATGTACTCCATCAGTGTAGATTAGTTCTTCACCTCCCAGCCCTCAAAACATTATGGATCGAGAACTGCAGTGACATGACATCTAGCTCACTGGATATACTTCGAGGTCTCTCTTCCCTCGAGACATTAGTACAACTTCATATATCTAACTGCCCAGGAATCAAGATACTGCCTGAGAGCATAAAACAACTCACCAACCTCCAAACACTAAATATTTCAGACTGCCCCGAACTAGTTCAGTGGTGTGAATCAGATGAGAAGATTATGAAGCTTTTGCGTACATCGAAGTAATGTATGTCGACCCTGCAAAGCTATCCATGGTAATTCTATTTTGTTCCTTCATATTTGCACTAACTACTTTGTCATCACACAGTACATGATCTTTATTTACTGTTTTCATATTATACTATGGGATGGGATCCATTGGTGTTTGGGGTAACCATAGAGGATTTCACTTGCAGGAATTTGCATACTTTTGTACTATTTTACCATCTTTTTCCTTAAAGGATGTTGCAATGGATTATTGTAGGCACGTATGTGAAAGCAATAATAATGTTAGTTTCATTTGGCAAGAATGCAAGTATAGGAGTTTTCTCATTAGCAAATTACATGAACCTCTGGATTTTTATTTTTTATTGTAGTTTACGAATGTCCACATATCAGTCACTTTTCAACACAGCAGAAAGAAGACAGAGATGTGTCTTCTTACTGTTAAATACGTGATTAACCATCCCAGTAAAATCAGGGAAAAAAATAACTCAAACGTAGGCACGTAGCCATTGTGCAGCACAAGTGAAAGGTCCCGTTGCTTTTCGGCTTATTTTCTTTCAAGTAAATAAATGGTCACATCCATCAATTATGGTCAGATGAGGAATCAGGTGGTCATCTGCAGACACAGAGCGACAAAGCGGTGGACCAACATCTACGGGAAAAAATCCAAAGGTATTAATCTTATAAGTATCTAATCCTCCTTATAGTTCCAAAAATTTATTAGTAGTGATAACTCAAAAACATTTTGTTCTAAAATTATTAGTAGTGATGATGATGGTGCAATGTGCTCGTGTTGCCCAGGCTCACTAAATTGGTTATACAACATGTTATACGCGACGCCAAGCCATCAAGGATGTCAATGCGGTGCGCACCCTAGAAGGTGTCGAGGATGGCTTGGTTCGCCATCAGGTGCACAGAGGCAGAAGGGAGACATCTGGTTAAACGCAAGAAGGCGCCATATGATGCAGGCCACATCACGGTGGAGTCGTCGGCCACCAATCCGTGGGAGATGCAGCCCGCGGTGGCCATAGCGCGTCTGCCAGAGTGCGAGCACGCGTACAATTTGGTAGGGGAGCCAGGCGGCGTCCGCACTTGGTGACACCACGGAAATAAAGGAGCCCTACAATGCTCTTGTGGCCTGGAGGTCCCCATGCTATATCATGATTTGAAGAAGTGGTATTACTGGCATACATGGGCAGAAGACAAGAAAGAGATATAAATGAATATGTGGCTTTCTTTGATACTTGCTAAAGAGTTAGGGCAGAAGGCTAATTGTTTGATACTGAAGAAGCTGGGAGCCGATGGAAATTGTGCTGAAGAGTTCAAGTTGGAACGACCGTTGGGGTCGTGACACTGGTGCTGAATGTAGATGGCGATCTTTTGGATAGCCACTATTTGCTAAACATGTTAATCGAATCAATGATCCAGATTCTGATTAGACCGAAGGCTTCGACCCTGCTTATATTGAAAGCAAACGGTACTGCTGGGGATACCAGCTTACAATGGCAGTTTTTAAGATCCAACATTACAATTGGTCCTAGCACCTCTCTGTTATTCTTATAGGATCACTAGGAGTAGATCTAGCCAGGTGCTTGATGAAACAAAGACCTAGAACATGTTCTAGTGCTACGATAGAGAGACAGAGAGAGGTGGATGAGGTCCCATTTAACCCCGACACCGCAGAGGGGGTAGATCCAGAGGCCTCCATCGGGTTCGTCGGGGTAGTCTGCGCACGGGCAGCGACGGTCGGTGAAGACGGGTCGGAGATGTGGTGCCGGCGATGAAGTTCGACGGCGGCGCAGTGCAGTGGTGGAGGTACTTCTCGTCACTGGCTGCGCCCCTCACTTAGATCGGGTTTAGGGTTTGGATGTCGGTGGGGAGCTCGGCTGGGTCAACCTCATGATAAGAGCCGCTGGCCCCACCCTCTTTTATAGCGCAGGTGACAGGGGGCCCTCCACCCATGGTGGGGTGGGACGCCTCGATCGTATGCTGAATCAAAGACCCAATCTGGCCGTTGGGTCCAAAGTAGGTTAGAGATCAATCTAACAATCTCTCCCTTGATTTCTTTCCATCTTTCACTTTCATATCATTTACTTTTTCATCATTCTATTACAGATTAGCACATAGAGCATGTCTCATCGTCACGATCCATTACCGATAGATTTAACAGCTACAACACACTACTCTGTTCTGAAATAGATTGTGGCAGAACCTCCTAAGTTATAGGGCATAGTAAGATTACTACTCCACCACACAAAACTTTTTTAATAAAATACGGAATGGTGAGAAAGAAATAAGATAAGTTAGAAGCAATTTGGACCAAACTATCAAGTTAAATTTAGTCATCCCAAATCATTTTGAAGTTTTTGTAAAACAATACAACAAAAACCTTGTAACGATCGCTCCGATACCATTCTGTGGCAGAACCTCCTAAGTTATAGGGCCCACATGCATCTGTCACTGTCCGACGACCTTTGACATTTATACATATGTTTCCATTAACTTAAAAAGACTATCGGGTGTCCTTGGAGAACCCCGAATCATCCACGATTTCCGAGTAGGATCACGTTACAGAGTCATTGCAGTATTACAACATTTATTCAATTATCAATACCAGAGTAAAAACAGCGGAAGTCTTACAATAACATAATTTACAAAATAGTAGTTTCAAACCTCGCAACTAGGTTCGATGTTTATTACAAAATGAAATAGTGGAGTGGCATTATAATATAATACAAAACACACAATGAAACTGCCCTGCCTAAGGACCACACATTTACTTCTCAACGTCATCACAAGGAACAACCGTCATGCAGCACGATCCAAAACAGATCTGCTCATGAGGCTCACCTGCAACAAGGGGTCAACGAACCCTGAGTACAAAAGTACTCAACAAGACTTAACCGAAATAAAACTGATAGAACTCAGGAATGCCGGCTCATGGGATTCATGGTATGGCTTTAACAATAATCAAAGTTCTTTTGCGTAAAAGCTCTTTAACAAAATTCATTAATTCAAAGGTAAAACTCTATAAGTACCTCATATGAATCTGCCATGATCCGTAATGAGATCATGAACTTCATATCAATCTCTTTCGCAAACCTTTCTCAAGTTCCAGTGATTAATACTACGATGATGAACAGTGAGTTGAGTCTCCATAACCGAGGAGCAACGACGATTCGAACCGATTAATCCCAGCTGGGAATTCTAGACCACATGACATATGCAGGTCCCCGACCTACATATACCAACCTGCACTCAGATCCTCTAAAACAAGAACGGGTCCACGCCACCCGAGAATACAGTACTCCACCAATCCAGCCCATTGCCACGTGGGTACACGCTATTCTCGCCATCTCTCCACTCCCAGTGCGCGAGTAGCCATTCTCATAATAGAATAGCCGAGTAAAGGCTTACCGGAGTATGTGGTTAGTACTACAAATTCTCACCTCATGCAATTCAACAACGGACGTGCCTTAATCGACACAGGCGGAAAGAACCCGCTCACAAGACCTCCATGTCTTGTGGCTCACACACACCGAGTCCGCCCGGTCTAGATTTATTACTCCACATTCCCATATCACATGATAACATAAGTAACCAAGGTTCCATTTAACTTGCAGGTGGCAAGTAATCACCCGACTTTCATCGTTCTAAGCATAGCTAAGTAAAACTAGGCATATACGAATTTAAAACTAGTAATATGGTAAATATGGAATAACAAGTTTGGTAATGTACCAATTTGACTTGTACTTGACTCCTAATCACTTAATGCAGTAAAAAGAAGCAAAAGCGAAATCAATTTGTAAAATATAAGGTAGGGTTGTATGCATCCGGGGCTTGCCTTCGTTGACGGAAAAGTCTGGTTCCTGCGACGTTTCACAAGTATTCGATCCGACCTCAACAGACGGATTAACCTCCTCCACAACTTGATTAACTACCACGTGTTCACCTTCGTTCACTACATGTAGTAACAATGCCATGTTTAACATGATGCGAATAATCTAAACGTGATGCTCGATGATGGATGCAAAATTAACAATTTGAATACAACTTTCCTTCAGCGATACAATTTGCAAGTCAAACAAGCCAAATCTTTTTCAGAATACATACATCAACTGCCAAGGATCATTATCAACAAATGACCCAAGGTCATCACTCAATCCAAAATTTCAAACAAAACCTAAATCATTAAAGGTTACTATTTGCTTTTATGAATTAATTATTTAATTCAAAATTATGAAATAAATCAACTTATTCTGATTGAGCTCAAAATTTTTGTAAATGTTCATTACATAATAAGTAAGTGGCAAACCAAATTTCATAATTTTTGGACAATTAAATAAGCCTAGAAAAATCATGGAAATCCATTTATTAATAAATTGAGCAATTTTTATCACATTCAAAAAGTACTGAAAAACATTATTTCATATTTTTCTTAAATACTATACATCATATAGAAGTTACACAAAAATTTTCATGATTTTTGGAGCTCTAAATAAATCTACACAAAAATAACAAAAACAGACACTATTCATTCAAATCTGAAAATAGAAAAATTCCATTTGAACGTTGAGTCACTGACAACCCGACCCCACCTGTCATCCTTAACCTCGCGCGTTTGACCACACCGGCGACTACGCTGACCGACGATATCTCGCCGACGGCGAGACCAACGACGACGGCCAAAGCACCAAAACACTCCCCACACTACCCCGCATCGATTGACGGCACAACCTTGAGCAATTACAGCGAGGCACAAGCTTAACGTCGACCATGGCGGACGTGGTGGCACGGCTGTGCTACGCCGACGACAGGAGCACGGTAGAGGTTAAACACGTAGCATAGAAGGGTTCAGCACCTCTCCCCGAACACGACTGAGCAACGAGCAGGGTCGGAGGAGCAACGGAGAGGTGGGTCGATGTTCCGAGCAAGCACGGCGGAGCAGATCGTCGTCGGTGGCGATGTTCCGGGAGCTGTGGTGGTCAAAATGAGAAAACAATGGGTCATGAAGTACTACAGCATCATGGCGAAGCTGAAACAAGACTCAGCAGGGGCAGAGGATCACCGTAACACGCTGGCCACGGCGAAGCGCTCGCGACGGGGACGCTGCCGGCCGCGAGGAAGAAGAGCGCGCACCGCGAGTTTCCGGTGAAGACAAGCCACAAGGACTGGTTTGCTGGACGCGCAAGGAACTAGCAGAGCTGGGACACGCTTTGCTGCGATGGCGTGGGCGCTGGTTCGACGGCAAAAGCTCGACGGAGCTGCGGCGGTGGTGACTGGAAAATAGAGGAAAGGAGCGGGGGCAAACGGCGACGGCCAGGGCTAAATAGAGTGGCTCAGAAGCACAAGGAAGCCACGCAGGAGACTTCTCCACACCAGCGCAAAGCCGAGGACGTCCACGCGCGCGCCTGGAAGCGAACCGAAGGTCGCCGGCGGTGTAGCTACGACGGTGAATGCTGTTCACAGTATTTACAAGTTTGCCATTCGCCAAAATTCACAAATTACTCTCAAATTTTCATAACAACTCAAAAATCTCCAAAAACAAAAGTTGTTCAAAATCAAAAGTTCTACAACTTTGCTTTTATAACCATCTTCTAATTCGGTCTAGTTTTTGAAATGAACTTTTGAATTTAAATGGGGAAAATTAACGAATTACGCCTTTTCAAATTACTCAAAATTTTTCTAAACAACTTGAAAAACTCCAAAAATAAACTTTGCTTAACTTGTCAAGCACTACACTTTTTCTTTAAGGCTCAACCCCAAAATATGCTTAGATTTTGAAATGGATTTTCAGGGTAGGGTTTAAATGCTGAAAAGCGGGGTTTTCTGAAAAATTCAATTCCAACCCAATTTTACATGAGTCAAACAATACAATTCAACACTCATAACACAAATGTAAACTTGTTTTAGTGAATGCATATCAAAGTTTGCAATATGACCAAATGCCTTGCAATGCATATGATGACATGCCATGTTTTTAATATTTAAACACCCGGGGTGTTACATAGATACTTATCTTTGTACCTTCTTTTGTCCAGGAATTATAGGTTTTCCCTTAAACCCATGCCGGCTACATGTTCTCGGAACACGTTGGGT